GGTGACCCTGCCATGAAGGTCGGTGTTTGGACACTTCCTGTCAAAGAATGACAACCCTCTGTCCCTGTCTCCTAATATTATTTCTTGCATGGTTACCCTTTTACATGGGCTTCTAATGCAGCCTTTCTCAATCAGGGTGCCTTGCGGTTTCTTCAGGGGTGCCTTCTCAAAATGTCTAAAAATTGCCCAAAACTTGTATACAAGCCAGTGGGTGGATCAGCCTGCCTTTTAGTTAAAAAAATCCAAAGGTTTTCATTGTGCACCATTACGACCTTCTAACCGCCAGCATCCTGACAACCAATGATATCATCAGTTCATAAGGAAGATGTCAGCTGCCTGCACAGCATCCTAGTTTGACCCTCCCCTGCCCCTCTCCATCAGTGCTGGAGTCACCTTAGCTCAGTGATGGAGAAAAACTGAGGGAGAAGAGAAACATTGGAATACTAGTCAGTACCAGTGTGCAAAAGTGTGTTTGCTTTGGAAGAAGAAATCACCTCTAATGTTAGGTGTCCCACATATGTGGCTGTTGCTGCGTTATTTAAAACTATTAGAATAGTTTTTCACATTTTAGAATGGGGTGCCCTTTTAAAATTATGGACAGTCTAGAGGCACCCCATTTTAGAATGGGGTTCCTCAAGACTGTCCATAATTTTAAAGGGTGCCTCGGGACTATTCATAATTTTAAAGGGTGCCTTGACTGAAAAAAGGTTGAGAAACACTGTTCCAATGCATAGTACAAGTGGAAGCGTCCACACACATTATGCAGGCATGGTACATCATCAGGAAACCTACCCTTAGAAATGCCATGTGACCACAGATGGAGTGCATGTAGTCAAGAAGTATCTTCAAAGAAGTTGCCGGAGATCATCAGCACTGTGGTGCCACAAAGGATGAAAAAAAAGGTTAACGTATTCTTTTATTTTAAAAATTGTCAATTGTTTATGATACACAACAAAGCAAATGTCATCTAGTTAGGGTTTACATGAATTGGAAAACTACGTGGACCCTCTGACTGGTATGTGTTCTGTAAAGCAGGGTAATTTAGAGAGGCTCCTAAACCTTGCTGAGCATAGCTTAATGAGCTGTAGAAAACCACTTGTTATATGCTTTTTTTTATAACATTTTTAAGGGTGAGTATGTTGAGTCATGAATAGACCCCATTCAATGTTTTGCTTCATCTAAAGTCAAGTGGGCGGCAGAGTGTAGAGTTTAGCGTATCAGCACCTTGGACCATCAGTCGGAAAGTATCTGTGACAGGAAAAAAGCTGACCATAAAGCATAACCCTTTTTGGCAGGGGGAAGTGGGCATCTCACAAAACATATGAAACCCAAAGAAAACACCAGAGCTGGTTTATTGCGTGCCTATTTCATAGGAATCCTAGAAAATGCCAGATACATTTCCTACAGCTTGGACACAAAACAAGACAACATCGTGCTAAGGATAGGCTTATTGTGCATATTGTTCATAGCTTGTGTGGGGATCAAGCTTCATGTTTCTGCAGTGAGCAGTGCAGTGGTCTGCATGGCAAACACACAAAGACCACTTAGGCATGTACTGAAGACAGCCTATCGTCACCTTCCAAGATATGCAAGTCATTTCACCTACGGAACAAACGCAACCCTATACTCTGCTGTGTGTGCAGAGGCTAATTGTACGAAATGCTGTCTACCCGTGTTATTCAAGTTCCATAACTACTTATACTGAGATTTTAGGTTAGCTTTTCACTGCTGTTCTCTACAACTGAATTAAAATAATAGCAGACACCCTTATAGTAGGCCAAAAAACAAATTATTTGCACCTGGCTCAGGCCCCCTCGCTCTCCCACAATTACATGTTTTTTTTTATTTGTGTTTTTGGATTTTTGTGTTAGGCAAAAATGAGCTTGTGCTCTTGGTGCCTCAAGGTGCATGCGTACTACTGTATTCCATGCATGCACCGATGTGCGTAAGGGCTCCACCTGGCCTTTGGGACACGGCAGAGACCTTTGGCACATCCACGCACAAGGGTTTTCTCGCACATGTGCGAAGACGCCACTGTTATGGACGTCCCAGATCTCAGGTTGTCTGCCTATGCGCAGGAAAGCTTGGCATGTGTGCAGATGTGCTGCAGGTCTCTGAAAGGTTCTGAAGAGTGGGCAGAGCCCCTTGATACATCTATGCACATGCCAAATTTTGGTGCTGGTGAGGAGCGTGACCAGCATTATGGGTTCTGAAGTTCCTCTTTTAGATATCCATGACTCCTATACAAGCTACTGTCCATCACATAACAGAACTAGGACCTGGTGTTTGGCCAATTGGCCTCCAAGTACCCATTGTTGCTTTATAGGAGGCAGGGGGGATCACATGTGTCCTACAGTATAAAGCTGAAAGTACCAGGTATTTGCAATTAAAAATACTGTCATTTTATAAACAAAAAACGATGGTATAAAGGCAGGCACCTATCAGCAGCAGCCTGCAGTCTCCTTGACCAAGCCTTTCTGATAGGGCTAGATTCTAACATGTCCTGGTAGTTCCATCCCTCTCCCTCATATTCTGATTGGCCCACCAGAATGATGGTCTTCTTCTCTGGCCAGTAGGAATGTGTGTAAGGCAGGTAGGGATGGGGGTAAGCTTTGACACCTCCAAGAAGGGTCAGAGCTTAGCCCAGTCAGAGCAACACCATGCTCTTGTGTAGGAGGTTGAAAAAAAACATCTACAGTATACAGTATATACAGGTGAAACTCGAAAAATTAGAATATCGTGCAAAAGTTCATTTATTTCAGTAATGCAACTTAAAAGGTGAAACTAATATATGAGATAGACTCATTACATGCAAAGCAAGATAGTTCAAGCCGTGATTTGTCATCATTGTGATGATTATGGCTTACAGCTCATGAAAACCCCAAATCCACAATCTCAGAAAATGAGAATATTGTGAAAAGGTGCAATATTCTCGGCTCAAAGTGTCCCACTCTAATTAACTAATTAAGACATAACACCTGCAAAGGGTTTCTGAGCCTTTAAATTGTCTCTCAGTCTGGTTCAGTAGGAATCACAATCATGGGAAAGACTGCTGACCTGACAGTTGTGCAGAAAACCATCATTGACACCCTCCATAAGGAGGGAAAGCCTCAAAAGGTAATTGCAAAAGAAGTTGGATGTTCCCAAAGTGCTGTATCAAAGCACATTAATAGAAAGTTATGTGGAAGAGAAAAGTGTGGAAGAAAAAGGTGCACAAGCAGCAGGGATGACCGCAGCCTGGAGAGGATTGTCAGGAAAAGGCCATTCAAAAGTGTTGGGGACTTTCACAAGGAGTGAACTGAGGCTGTAGTCAGGGCATCAAGAGCCACCACACACAGACGGATCCTGGACATGGGCTTCAAATGTCGTATTCCTCTTGTCAAGCCGCTCCTAAACAATGTCAGAAGTGTCTTTCCTGGGCTAAAGAAAAACAGACCTGGTCTGTTGCTCAGTGGTCCAAAGTCCTCTTTTCTGATGAGAGCAACTTTTGCATCTCATTTGGAAACCAAGTCTGTGTTGATTTGGGGAGCCATGTCATCTGCTGGTGTTGGTCCACTGTGCTTCATTAAGTCCAGGGTCAACGCAGCCGTCTACCAGGAGATTTTGGAGCACTTCATGCTTCCTTCCACAGACAAGCTTTATGAGGATGCTGACTTCATTTTCTATCAGGATTTGGCACCTGCCCACACTGCCAAAAGCACCAAAACCTGGTTCAATGACCGTGGGATTACTGTGCTTGATTGGCCAGCAAACTCGCCTGACCTGAACCCCATAGACAATCTATGGGGCATTGCCAAGAGAAAGATGAGAGACATGAGACCAAACAATGCAGAAGAGCTGAAGGCCGCTATTGAAGCATCCTGGTCTTCCATAACACCTCAGCAGTGCCACAGGCTGATAGCCTCCATGCTACGCCGCATTAACGCAGTAATTGCTGCAAAAGGGGCCCAAACCAAGTACTGAGTACATATGCATGCTTATACTTTTCAGAGGTCCGATATTGTTCTATGCACAATCCTTGTTTTATTGATTGCATGTAATATTCTAATTTTCTGAGATTGTGGATTTGGGGTTTTCATGAGCTGTAAGCCATAATCATCACAGTTATGACAAATGACGGCTTGAACTATCTTGCTTTGCATGTAATGAGTCTATCTCATATATTAGTTTCACCTTTTAAGTTGCATTACTGAAATAAATGAACTTTTGCACGATATTCTAATTTTTCGAGTTTCACCTGTATATATTATATTATTAATATACAGGATTTATATAGCGCCAACAGTTTGCCCAGTGCTTTACAATATAAAGGGAGACAATACAGCAACTATACAGTTCAATACAGGAGGGTTAGGATGGCCCTGCTCCTGGGAGCTTACAATCTAATAGGGAGGGACTAATGGTACAAAAGGTCATAACTGTGGGGGATGAACTGATCGGAAAATAGATTTGGTTATTAGCTATACGCAGCATATGACCAAAAGTATTGGTTGGCCTGCCTTTACACGCGCATGAACTTTAGTAGCATCCCAATCTTAGTCCGTAGGGTTCAATATTGAGTTGTCCCACCCTCTGCAGCTATAACAGCTTCAACTCTTCTGGGAAGGCCGTCCACAAGGTTTAGGAGTGTCTATGGGAATGTTTGACCATTCTTCCAGAAGTGCATTTGTGAGGCCAGGCACTGATGTCAGACAAGAAGGCCTGGCTTTCAGTCTCCGCTCTAATTAATCCCAAAGGTGTTCTATTGGGTTGAGGTCAGACCAGTCAAGTTCCTCCACCCAAAACTTGCTTGTCCATGTCTTTATGGACCTTGCTTTGTGCACAGCCGTGTTGGAACAGGAAGGGGCCATCCCCAAACTATTCCCACAAAGTTGGGAGTATGAAATTGTTCAAAATGGCTTGGTATGCTGATGCCTTAAGAGTTCCCTTCGCTGGAACTAAGAGGCCAAGCCCAACCCCTGAAAAACAACCCCACACCATAATCCCCTCTCCACCAAACTTTACACTTGGCACAATGCAGTCAGGCAAGTACCATTCTCCTGGCAATCGCCAAACACAGACACGTCCATCGGATTGTCAGACAGAGAAAACGTCTCCACTGCTCTAGAGTCCAGTGGTGATGTGCTTTACACCACTGCATCCGATGCTTTGCATTGCACTTGGTGATGTAAGGCTTGGATACAGCTGCTCAGCCATGGAAACCCATTCCATGAAGCTCTCTACGCACTGTTGTTGTGCTAATCTGAAAGCCACATGGAGTTTGGAGGTCTTTAGCTACTGACTCTGCATACGGTTGTCGACTTCTGGGCACTGTGCGCTTCAGCATGCGCTGATCCCACTCTGTCATTTTACATAGAAACAGAAAAGTGATGGCAGAAAAAGACCAAGTGGTCCATCGAGTCTGCAATTTTTTTGGGGGGGGTTTGGGTTTTTTGTTTGAGTATAGATCTATGCATATCCCAAGCATGTTTGAAGCTATTTACTGTTGACTGGCTCACTACTTCTGATGGAATTTTATTCTAAGTATTAACTACTATTTTAGTAAAATAGTGCTTTCTCAGATTAGTTTTGAACTTTCCTTCAGTTAGTTTGAGGTCATCTCCCTCTGTGTTCTTGATTTTGGTTTCATGTTGCAAATACTGCCCTCCTGAACCTCATTCACCCCCTTGATGTATTTAAAAGTTTCAATCATGTCTCTCCTTTCCCTTCTTTTCCCCAGACTGTACATGTTAAGTTCCTGAAGTTACTCTTGATATGTTTTATCCCCCAGACCTTTCACTATTTTTGTTACCCGTCTCTGGACTTGTTCTGTCTTATCAATATATTTTTGTAAGTGAGGTCTCCAGAACTGGACACAGGATTCTAAATGAGGTCTAACTAAAGATCTATATACATGAATCAGGACCTCCTTCCTCCTGCTGGTGACCCCTCTAGTGATGCATCCTAGAATTCTATTAGCTTTCCCTTACTGCATGGCCACACTGTTTGCTCATTTTGCAATCATCTGAACTAAGTACCCCCAAGTCCTTTACCTCTGAAGTGCTGGCCTACACTGTGCCTACAATGTTTGCGTTGCTGTTGTTCCCAGTTGCTTCCACTTTGTTATAATACCACTAACAGTTGACTGTGGAAAATTTAGTAGCCAGGAAATGTCATGGATGGACTTATTGCACAGGTGGCAACCTATCACGGTACCACGGTTGAATTCACTGAGCTCCTGAGAGCGACCCATTCTTTCACAAATGTTTGTAGAAGCAGTCTGCATGCCTAGGTTCTTGATTTTATACACCTGTGGCCATGGAGGGGATTGGAACACCTGAATCCAATTATTTGGAGGGTGTCCCAATACACATGGCAATACAGTGTACATTCAGAGGTGCCTACTACAATACACCCATCTCTTCACAACAATTTGTGTACTCTGCCCTCGGGCCCCTGGAACATCTGAACCCAATAATTTGGAGGGGCATTCCAATACTTTTGGCAATATAGTGTGTGTGTGTATATATATATATATATATATATATATAAAATGTATTTTTTTTGTGTGTGTTTGTTTTGTTTTTGTTTTTAAAAGATGGATCACTTGGTCTTTCTTCTGCTTCCACTGTTCTATGATTCTTTATGATTATAAAATGACTTTAGCTTCTTATAATACCTATGATTAGATTTCCCTACATGCACTGCTTCTTTCCTGAAGCTGTTATAAGCTGCAGTGGGCATGACTCATGACTGGCATTTATATTCAGATCAGTTGATACACAATGATGGCCATGGCAATCTGTAATATTGAAATTAACAGGCTGGACAGCAAGCCTGGGGAAAATTGTAAATAAGAGCGAGAATGATAGGCCTGCGCAATAAATATGTTATAAGTAGTAAATGTCATTTGTGCTTTAACTACCTGCCGACCGCAGATAGCCGAATGACGGCTGCACTGCGGCCGGCCAGTTCTGAGTGGACGTCATATGACGTCCTCCCAGAACGCGCTCTGCTGCGCGCCCCAGGGGGCGCGCACCCGGCGATCTCCGTGATCGCTGTGTCCTACGGACACAGCTGATCACGTGATGTGGTAAAAGGCCGATCACAGCGGCCTTTTACCACGTGATCAGCGGTGTCCAATGACACGCTGATCAGAGGGAAATGCAAGTGCCGGTTCTCGGCTGCACTTTCCTCACACTGTCAGATCGTGAGGAAAGTACTGCCGAGAACCGGCAGTTGTCAGAGCGAGGATCGGCACCGATCATCAGGGCACTGATGATCAGTGCCCTGATGATCGGTGCCCAGCAGTGCCACCCACAAGTTCCGCCCACCTGTGCCCAGCAGTGCGCCCACTAGCTCCGCCCACCTGTGCCCAGCAGTGACCCCACCTGTGCCACTCTGCAGTGTCACACACCTGTGCCCAGAAGTGCCACCCACCTGTGCCCAGCAGTGCCACCCACCTGTGCCCACCCACCTGTGCCCACCAGTGCCACCCACCTGTGCCCACCCACCAGTGCTGCCCACCAGTGCCACCCACCAGTGCAGCCCAGCAGTGCTGCCAGTCAGTGCCACCAGTCAGTGCCCAGGGGTTGTGCCAGTCAGTGCCGCCAGTCAGTGCCCAGCAGTGATGCCAGTCAGTGCCATCTATCAGTACCCATCATCAGTGTCACCTATCAGTGCCGCCTATCAGTGCTGCATATTAGTGCCGCCTATCCGTGACACCTCAGTGCTGTCTATCAGTGCTGCCTATCCGTGCCACCTCATTAGTGCTGCTGCCTATCAGTGCCCATCAGTGCCGCCTATCAGTGCCCATCAGTGCTGCCTCATCAACGCACATCAGTGAAGGAGAAAAAATACCTGTTTGAAAAATTTTATAATAGAAACAAAGAACTTTTTTTTTTTTTCAAATTTTTTGCAATTTTTTTATTTATAGCGCAAAAAGTAAAGCGCCCAGTGGCGATTAAATACCACCAAAAGAAAGCTCTATTTGTGAGAAAAAAATGATCAAAATTTCATATGGGTACAATGTTGCATGACCGCGCAATTGTCAATCAAAGTGCGGCAGCGCTGAAAGCTGAAAATTGGCCTGGTAAATAAGGGGGTATAAGTGCCTGGTAGGCAAGTGGTTAAAAGTAACATTTAAAGACCCATCCTCTCCCACTTAGACAACGTGGCTGTGAATGGCTCCTTTATACTCAAAATGCAGCCTGAGATTTACTTCAGTGTTGCTGACATCCTTTACACCACAATTTATAGCACATTAATATTTATCACAAACCTGCCTATAGATCGTAACCTATGGGCTTCTAACTTTTATGACAGCAGTTATACTTTCTATAAGCTCTTCACACAATCATTTTGGTTTATATTCTATAGTTCTGGTGTGATGTAATGGAATGACTCCCTGCAATATTTTTTAGACGATACAGAGTGCATTCATAAAGTACTTAGACCGACTTCACTTTTTTTTTCCATTTTGTTATGTTGCAGCCTGATACTACAGTTGTATAAATTACATTTTTTTCTCTACACTCAGTACCCCATAATTACAAAGTGAAAACAGAATTTTAGAAATGCTTGCAAATGTATGAAAAAAATAATCACATGGCATAAGTGTTCAGACCCTTTGCAACAACACTTGACATTTAGTTCAGGTGCATCCCATTTCTCTTGATTATTGCCAAGATGTTTCTACACCTTCCATTTGAGAATTATAGAGGTCACTGTACTGTTGGAAACCTTCAATGCAGCAGAATTTTTTTTTGTAGCCTTCTCCAGATCTGTGCCTTGCATTAATCCTGTCTCTGAGCTCTGCAGACAGTTCCTTTGACCCCCGATGGCTTTTGCTCTGATACAGTATGCATTGTCAGCTGTGAGGCCTTTTATAGAGAGGTGTGTGCCTTTCCAAATTATGTCCAATTTAATTTGCCACAGGTGGACTCTAATCAAGGTGTAGAAACATCTTGGCAACGATCTAGAAAAATGAGGGCACCTGAGCTAAATTTCAAGTGTTGTTGCAAAATGTCTTATGCAAATGTGATATTTCAGTTTTTTCGTTTTTCATACATTTGCAAATATTTCTAAAATTCTGTGTTCACTTTGTCATAATGGGGTGTATATTAATGAGAAATAAAATGAAATTAAACAACTGCAGTATCAGGCTGCAATATTACAAAACTGAAAAAAGTGAAGGGGTCTGAATACTTTATGAATGCACTGTAAAAGCTGCTGGATATGTATGGCCATAAATATACTAGAGCTTTGATTGAGCAGGAAAACACCGCAGAATATAAATGGTCTATAGTGCCGTGTGCAGATAATGAGTCTATACCTCATGCAGATGACATGGAAGAATGTTTTAAGAAGGTGGCCATTGTGGGTTAGGCTGGAGTGGGTGAGGATCTCATTTAGCATTAGCCAGCTGAATGCTCTTGTATAACACTGGTCCTGACATGTATGCCACCCCACTAGGTAGGATGAATATTTACATGACCTGATTGCCGCCCCTGATGTCTAGGCATACCGGGGAACTTTTGAAAATCATAATTCCGGAGAATGGGGGTGAGGTAGTGGATGGGGCTAATTATGACGTGTCTAGGTGTGACAAAAGTGTGCTAATACTCACATGGAAGAAAAATATATTTTAAATATATTTTAAAAATATTCTTCCCAAATATATTGCCATATATTTGAAATACTACAATTTTGGCCCTATTCAATATATTACAAAATATATTTCAATATACAGTATATATATATAAAAATAATAAAATATAAAATTGTGAAAAATTAAATAAAAATAAAATCCTACTGACACTAGTGGTGGAATCACCAGGTTCCGCCACCGGGCTCCAAGGAAAGGGTCCCTGAGCTTTGGGCTGCTCAGTCCAAACTGCCAGGCCTATTTTTTGTCCCAGTCCGGGCCTGCACAGATTAGTCCTGTCAAAGGTGCTCCTAACGACTAAATGTTAAGAGTATAAAAGACACCTGTCCACAGAATCTCTTTCTTTCATTCAAACCTCACCATCATGGGCTAGACAAAAGAGCTGTCAAAAGGACGTCAGGGACAAGATTGTAGACCTGCATCAGGTTGGAATGGGCTACAAGACCGTCAGCAAGAAGCTTGGTGAGAAGGAGACAACTGTTGGAGTGATTATTTGCAATTGGATGAAATACAAAATAACTATCAATCGCCCTCAGACTGGAGTATCATGAAAAATTTCCTTCATGGGGTAAGGATGATCATGAGAAATGTGAGGGATCACCCCATAACTACATGGGAGGAGCTTGTGAATGATCTCAAGAAAGTTGGGACCACAGTCACCACACAAACCAATGGTAACACAATACTCCGCCATGGATTGAAATCCTGCAGTGCCTACAAGGTCCCCCCTCAAGAAGGCACATGTAGAGGCCTGTCTGAAGTTTGCCAATGAACATCTAATTGATTCAGAGAAGGATTGGAAGCAAGTGATGTGGTCATATGAGACCAAAATTGAGCTCTTTGGCATTAACTCGATTTGGAATGTTTGGAGGAAGAAAAATGTAGACTATGACCCGAAGAACACCATCCCTACAGTCAAGCATGGAGGTGGAAACATGCTTTGAGGCTTTTTCTCTGCTAAAGGTACAGTCTGACTTTGCCACATTGAGGGGTCAGTGGATGGGGCCATGTATTGTAAAATCTTGGATGAGAACCTTCTTCCCTCAGCCAGAACACTGAAGACGGGTCATGGATGGGTCTTCCAGCATTACAATGACCCAAAACATACCACCAAGGCAACAAAGGAGTGGCTCAAGAAGAAGCACATTAAGGTCATGGAGTAACTTAACCAGTCTCCAGACCTTAATCCTATAAAAAATGTATGGAGGGAGCCGAAGCTTCGAGTTGCCAAGCGATAGTCAAGAAACCTTAAGGATTTAGAGAAGATCTGAAGAGAAGAGTGGACCAAATCCCTCCTGAGATGTGTGCAAACCTGGTAACCAATTAAAAGAAACGCCGTACCTCTGTGCTTGCCAACAAGGTTTCTCCACCAACTACTAAGTCAGGTTTTGCTTGGGGATCAAATACTTACTTTACTCACTTGCAACTCAATTTATAACATTTGTATCATGTGTTTTCTGGATTTTTGGTTGATATTCTGATAATTTAAAATACACCTATGATAAAAATTATAGACCCTTCATTTCTTTCCAAGTGGGCAAACTTACAAAATCTGCAGGGAATCAAATAATTATTTTCCCCACTGTATAGCCATTATTTTTCAGTGATTTATATTGCATTTGGAT